CTCAAATTTCACCAACTGCCCAACGTTACCTTTTCCTTTCTAGCCCAGAATCCAAATTCAGGATCATGCATTACTTTTACTTATCATGTCTCTGATCTGCTCCCCCTCCCCCACCTTTTATTTATTTTATTTTATTTAAAAAAATATGTTTTTATTTATTTCAGAGAGGGAAGGAGAGGGAGAGAGAGAGAGAAACATCAATGATGTGAGAGACACATTGATTGGTTGCCTCCTGCATGCGCCCCGACTAGGGCCAGGGATCAAGCCTGCAACCGAAGTACATGCTCTTTTTTTTTTTTTTTATATATATATTTTATTGATTTTTTACAGAGAGGAAGGGAGAGAGATAGAGAGTCAGAAACATCGATGAGAGAGAAACATCGATCAGCTGCCTCCTGCACACCTCCCACTGGGGATGTGCCCGCAACCCAGGTACATGCCCCTGACCGGAATCGAACCTGGGACCTTTCAGTCCGCAAGCCGAGGCTCTATCCACCGAGCCAAACCGGTTTCGGCGAAGTACATGCTCTTGACTGGAATGGAACCCAGGATCTTTCAGTCCTCAGGCCTACGCTCTATTCATTGCGCCAAACCCGCCAGCCCCCACCCCCTTTAAAAAAATATGTTTTTATTGATTTCAGAGAGGGGAAAGGAGAGGGAAAGAGGGATGCAAACATCAATGATGAGAATCATTGATCCGCTGCCTCCTACATACCTCCTATTTGGGGATTGAGCCTGCAACCCCGGCCTGTGCCCTGACCAAGAGTCGACCCGTGACATCCTGGTTCATGGGTCAACACTCAACCACTGAACTACACTGGCCAAGCTCTTTGATATGCTTTAATCTGGAACATTTCTTTTGTGTCCTTGGCGGTTATAGAGTACAGGCCTGTGACTCTGTAGGATGTCCCTCAACCTGGATCCATCTGGTGTTTCATTATATCTAGACCCATAACTTCTCCGTAGGAGTACTACACAAAAAATGATTATGGTGTATTCTTTTCAGAGTCTGGCCTCAGGCGGCCCATGATGTCAGCCTACCCCACTATTGATGATACTAAACTTGATCACCTGGTCAAGGCGGTATCTGTCACTTTTCTTCACTATAAAGTCACCATTTTTTTTATATATATATTTTATTGATTTTTTACAGAGAGGAAGGGAGAGGGATAGAGAGTTAGAAACATCGATGAGAGAGGAACATCGATCAGCTGCCTCGTGCACACCTCCTACTGGGGATGTGTCCGCAACCAAGGTACATGCCCTTGACTGGAATCGAACCTGGGACCTCTCAGTCCGCAGGCCGACGCTCTATCCACTGAGCCAAACCAGTCAGGGCTAAAGTCACCATTTTCACCTTTGTACTTAATGAGTATTTTCTGGGGAAATACTCTGAAACTAATATGCTGTTCATCAAACCTCCACCTACCATGATAAGTAAAAGTAATGCATGATCCTGAATTTGGATTCTGGGCTAGAAAGGAAAAGGTAACGTTGGGCAGTTGGTGAAATTTGAGCGGGGTCTGTGGGTTAGACAGCAGTGCTGTATCGATGTTAATTTCTGGATTGGGAGGGTGGCACCAAGGTTGTAGAACAGTGCACTTGTTTTGAGAAAAACACAGTGAAATATTTAAGATTGAAATAATATCATGTCTACAATTTGTTCTCAGATTAATTAGAAAAGGAATGATAATGGGGTAAGGGAGAAAATGGTATATGTCAAGGCTTAGTATCCATTGATAAATACAGTATAAATCAACACACACCACTTTAACAATTGCCAAATGGTGTAATAATCTTTTTACTTCCATTATTCCATCTACTGTGAAGTTGGCATTCTACTGTGAAGAAGAGCTTTCTCCTCTTACATTCATTTACATGTGTATTTATTTATATCAGTAGGGATTCTGTTTCAGTCAGCAGGTTGTAATACATTACCACCATTATTTATTTTATGCTCAGATTTGTCAGTGGGCATTGATGGCTTTAAGATGGCTTCTGTGTCCTTTTGACATGTCTCCATCATATTTTGAGCACTTTTTTTTACTTCCTTGCACTACAGAATGATTTGGGCTCGTCTTGTACTTTCCCTGGATAAGGGGTGGGAACGAAGGGAGGCCAGGCAGGAAGAACACATTGCTGAGGTTACACCAGGTCACACCAAATTCCCACCTCAGGCATCTTCTGGTGAGGGTTTCCCACTCCTCATGGCCTGCAGGTGCAGTAATGATAACTGGACCCCCCTGGATCCTGTTTTCACTCATTCAAGATTCAAAGTCCAGTTGGGAGCATTCCAGTTGGTTGGCTTCGGCTAAGTGCCTACCTCTGGGCTCTGAAGCGTGGGAGGGAGGATGAATGTCCTACAGCTGCCAGCCAGAAAGCGGGTAGAGCCTTAACTTGCTAATATTATCCACAGTAGGGGGCTGTACAGAAATAGGAAGATTATTTGAACCCTGGGTGACCAACACCTCCTTCCCCCCAATATCTACTTCATAGTTGGAGATCCGCAGCCTCCTACTCGAGATTGAGTCATAAGCTAAAGAAAAGGTTGGAAAGATTATGCACCAAACCATGCTGGTAAATGTTTAACACAAACTCCGCGGTGTGCGTCGGGGCCCTTATTTATAGTGTTCACCTATTTCTGTTGTGTAAATAGCTCTTCCACCATGGCCAGCTTCAAATGTGAGTCAAGACAGAGCTGGGAGGAGGTGTGCAGTAGGTCACCATTACATAGCAATTGCACCAAACAGATACTATAGATGTAAACAACCTCAAGAGGTAATAGGAAAATGCAGTAAAATAATTAGGAGGCGATGGGTTTTGCTTTAATTAATTAATTAACTTTGTTAATCCTCACCCCAAAATATTTTTTTCCATTGATTTCCAAAAGGGAGGGAAGTAGGGAGGGAAAGAAAGAGAGAGAGATGAGAGACACATGGATTGGTTGCCTCCCTAAGTCGCCCCAACCTGTAGGGATTGAACCTACAACCCAGGTATGTGCCCAGGGATCTGAGACCCGTCAGTTCTTGGACTGATACTCTAACCACAGAGCCACAACGACCAGAGCTCACTTTGTTTTAATGAAATTTATTTAGCTCTGGCTGGTATGGCTCAGTTGGTTAGAGCCGTGGTCGGCAAACTGCGGCTCGCGAGCCATACGTGGCTCTTTGGCCCCTTGAGTGTGGCTCTTCCTAAGCCTTAGGAGTACCCTAATTAAGTTAATAACAATGTACCTACCTATATAGTTTAAGTTTAAGAAATTTGGCTCTCAAAAGAAATTTCAGTCGTTGTACTGTTGATATTTGGCTCTGTTGACTAATGAGTTTGCCGACCTCTGGAGAGTGTCATCCCATATACCAAACTGTGGTGGGTTCAATTCCAGGTCATGGCAACTTAGGGATGTTTCTCCCTCCACCCCCATTCCCCTCTTTAAAATCAATTAAATAAATAAATTTAAGTTTATTTAGTTGTGAATTTTAAATTTAAATTTTAATTAAACCTGTAACAACTGAAATGCATAATTCTGGACAATTCAGCAGTTGTCTCTCATGAGCCAGTGTGAGGTACCATACTATCCTGGCGTTTCTCTGTGATGGTGGGGAAGGCATTTTTACTGATTAATTTTTTTAACTTTATATTATTTTTATTTTTATTTATTTTTATTTATTTTTTTACATTCTTACTTGTGGTTTCGGTTCATTTGTTTTGTTTTTGCTTTTTATTTTTTATTTTCCTAGAAAAAAAGAAAAAACACAACCAGGGGGATTTATATGATACTGTCAGGATAGCAGGGGGAAGAGAAAGGCCGGAAGTGTGGACAGTTAATAAAAAGTGGGTTCTGAATTACATGGAACAGTCCACAGGGTCATGTCTGAGGCCTCACGAGATGACTGGTCATTTTGGCATGCATGTCCGGTGCCGGGTCTCCTGCTCTGCCCCTCAGATACCCAAGCACCCAAGGTCAGCAAGAGCTGGCCACACCCTAGATATCTGCCAGACAAACTCGGACTTGACAGAAAGACAAGACAAGACAATGAAGCTCCTTGGCTTTGTGCGCAGTATCACACGCAGTCTTTCTTGCTCACGGTGGAGTCTGGGGTGAAAGTCACTATGGGACAACTTTGGCATCACAGTGAACTCCAGGCAGCCACCCATTCATGTGCAGACATGGTCTTCACCACCCACACCGGTGTCTGTCCAGACATCCCCAGGCGGTCTGGCCCAAGGATGAGGCACAGAACGTTCCTTCCCAGCCACCACTCAACAGCGGTGTCCACTCTCTGGCCTTGCTCGGTCACCTGCAGGAGGAGAGTGGGACCCATCTGCTTTTCAGCTCCGCAATGAACACTGATTCCAAAGACGCTTGGCCATCTGGATCCATACGGAAGGTTTCTTGAATTTCTCCCACTTTTATGCTGATCTCAGGGCAGAAAATTCAGCCAGACCCAGAGCCATACATGGCAAACAGCAAAGCCAGAATGATGGCTGGGCAAGAAAGAGCCTGCAAGTAACACAATGCAAGGCCAGAGGACATTCAAGAAGGGGAGAGGGCATGCAGCAAGCTGTTGCCCCAAGTCACAGTTTAGGGGAGGCACTAAGCCTGAAGGACACAGCCAGGTCTGCCATCTACACCTCCCGCAGCGGGGCCACTGGTTGTGATTCCTATGTGGAGAGTGCCCTGCTGTGACCTCTGTTCCTGCACGGAGGCCAGGTTACATCTCAGTCCACAGTCCTGAGGAGCACCACGCTGGCCAGCCAGCCAGGCCATAGTCCTCAGCCCCTCTGCTGATGGGGCTCTGGGTTCCACAGGAAGGCCCTGGGAGCGAGGGAGCAAGGGAAGAGGGATGCATTCTGCTGGGAGAAGTTCAGGGAGAAACTACTGTGGGCTGGAAGGAGCTGTGGCTCAAAACACTGCAGAGCCCAAAGGAATAGGATAAACATCGATAAAATGACAAGTCTTGTTGCTAGTTTAAAAACAGATGATTGTTGCTGTTGCTTGGTTTTGTTTTTTCCTTTTAAAACCACTCAATTTTAAAAGGTGAAGGGGCTGGAGAGGTTCAGCCCCTTCACTCTGATCCTTTCTGGGCACCAGGAGGCCTCAGGCCCATACCCGCTGCTCTCCTTGCCTGGGCTCCAGCCACCTAAGCCAGGGCAGGGTGGGGATGACTTGTTCTGCTTCTCAACAGCAATTCCGTCTCACTGTCAAACCAGAACATGGAGGATGGGAAGTCCAAAGACTAAAGTGCAGAGATTTCCAGAGCGGGCGGCCTGCCACTGGGCACTCTGAGAAGGAATGGGGCGGGGTCACCCCACAGCTGCAGCTGTGGAACCCGCTGACCATTATGAAGGAAGCCTGCATGGCACAGTCCCCTTTTCCTTGGGCCCTGTTGACACACCTCTCTCTGAGACAGTCCACTGTCAGTAGCTCCCCAAGGAAAGAAAGTTCTGGTCTGAAAGATATGGCCCATGAAGGGAGAAAACTTGTATGACCATCCCTGGTTGATAATGACTAGTGACCTCAGGGACAGGAAGGTGGCAAGAGGGGAAACAGTGCATGATATAAAATCCATGAACCCCAGGTTTCAAGAGCAAGGATGCATGAACAATCCAAAAGGCAGTCTCTCTCCTGGGAAAGGTTTGGTGAAGATGCTCAGGATCCTACCAGTGAGGCCTGCTGGGGGAAGGCGCTCCTTGGGTGGGAGGAGCCGCCAAGTGGGAGCAGGGAGGAAGAAGGCCTAGGCTGGCATTAGGGTGTGTAGGCCGGGGGCGGCTGGAATTGATTGATGACCTCATATTCCGAGGCGTAGGGCTCGGTCTCCTCCATCTCAGACAGCAGCTCCAGCGCCTGCTCCTCCTCCTCTGTCGGGTAGTGGCGTAGGAGGTTGGCTGCTGTGGCCAGGATTGAGGCTCCACCAGCTCCTGCCACCAGGTAGAAACTAACAGCAAAGGTGACATACACCTGGGAACCATGGTACTTCTTATGTTGCTGCTGCTGGGCCGGGATGAGTTCGGAAGCCCAGTAGGAAAAGCCGATGACGGTCGCACACTGCAGGACTGTGAGGATGTGGGCAAAGGCATAGCGACGGGTGATCTTCAGGGCTGGATGTTTGGGCCCAAAGACATCTGGGAGGAATGCGGAGAGGCTACACAGGATGCCCAGGAAGCAGAAGGTGGCAATGACCCGCAGAAGCAGCACCGTCTGGGGATTCATGCAGAAGTCTTTAAGCAGGTTCGGATGCACATAGCCCAGTACGTCGGAGACCCCCAGCTCCTGGCGGGAACAGGTGCCACCGTGGATGTGCAACCAGGCAGGCTCGGCGAGGGCAGTGCACAGCGCCGTGATGGACAAGGCGCCCGGCAGGGCCGAGGCCAGGCTACGCTCCGGCTGCTTGGGCAGAGCACTGCCTCCCGGGCTCCTCCGCCGGCGCCCGCCGGGCAGCCCTGCGCCTCCGCCTCCCGGGGCATACATGCCCGGGGCCGCCCGCCGTCGCTCCGCGGTCGCTGCTGCTCGCCGCCGACTTCCGGGGGGCGCAGTGTCTGCCTGTTCCAGGGAGGACGCAGGTGAGGAACCGTAGGGCTGCCAGGGCGGACACCGGAGGCTGGGGGAGTGGGACCTGGGGCCGAGAGGAGACCCGAGGGCTGCAGGATTCAGGGGCGGAGACGGCGACTGGGTGCCGGTCAGCAGGCCTCAAGGGTGGCGCAGCTCGTCCCGTCCTCAGCTGCCGGGCCAAGCGATCCAGGCCCTAGCCTAGACCCACTACTCCCGGACCGACCCGGGACCGACCCGGGTCCGACCCACTTCCGCTTCCTCCGCCTCGGCCTCCGCCTCCTCCGGCTCCCCGCCCTTATATTATTTTTAAAAGGTAGGATTAGGAGTGTTTTTATGTTGTGTGTGTGTGTGTTGTTGTTTTTTTTTTAAATTTCAGAGAGAGGAAGGGAGACAGAAAGAGGGATAGAAACATCAACGCGAATCATGGATCAGATGCCTCCTGCACACCCCCTACTGGGGATAGAGCCTGCAACCCTGGCATGTGCCCTGACTGGGAATCCAACCATGACCTCCTAGTATAGGTTGATGCTCAACCACTGAGACACACTAGCTAGGCTCTATGTGTTTTTAAATAAGAATTTTAATTTATTGTGTGTTTACCACCAAAAGTCAGGTCTCCTCCTGTCACCATTTATCTCCCTTTACTCTAAAAAGATATGGGCCGAAACCGGTTTGGCTCAGTGGATAGAGCGTCGGCTTGTGGACTGAAAGGTTCCAGGTTCGATTCCAGTCAGGGGCATGTACCTGGGTTGCGGGCACATCCCCCAGTGGGAGATGTGCAGGAGGCAGCTGATCGATGTTCCTCTAACTCTCTATCTCTCTCCCTTCCTCTCTGTGAAAAATCAATAAAATATATATATATATATATATTTTTTAAAAGATATGGACCCAGAATTCTTTTTCAACAATCATGCTATGCTATAGAGCAGCGGTTCTCAACCTGTGGGTCGCGACCCCTTTGGGGGTCAAAGACCCTTTCACAGGGGTTGCCTAAGACCATCGGAAAACACATATATAATTACATATTGTTTTTGTGATTAATTACTCTGCTTTAATTATGTTCAATTTGTAACAATGAAATTGGGGGTCACCACAACATGAGGAGCTGTATTAAAGGGTGGCAGCATTAGGAAGGTTGAGAACCACTGCTGTAGAGAGTGACGTCAACATGGAGGAAAGAAGAGCGAGATGATGGGAAGAGATGGGATCTCTCGACACCAAATGAATGCCTGGGTCAAGCCACATCCAAGTGACCTCTTCCGCCATTTTAGTTCCTTAAGGTAATAAATTTCCCCTTTTGCTGAAGTAATTTTAAGTCAGGTTTTCTAAAAGAATCTATATATATAAAAGGCTAATATGCAAAGTGTTCCCAGGAGTTCAACCAGGATACTGGGAATTCTATTGCTCACTATGATGTGCGCTGATCACCAGGGGGCGGTGGGGAAGAAGGAAGGCCCTGGCCAGCAGCCGCTAGGGACCCTACCCAAGCACCAATTTTGTGCACTGGGCCTCTGGTATTGAATAATTTGCTGTAGCAGAGCTGTGCTAACCTGGGCTCTCTAAAGCCAAAGGCAGGCATTTTTTCTGGCTCCAGCTCATGTGCTATGAAGGAGCCCCACTCTCTCTCTCAAGTTCTCCCAGTAAGTTCTCCGGTCCCCAGGAGACTCCTCATGTGTGGTCAGCAAGTCCATTCTCTGCCATTTCCTTCTCTCTAACCGGGCTCTCTGGGGGTGAGGAGGGGCCCCCTTTTTCTGCAGAGGCAGAGGGTGGTAATCCTGTCTCAGCTGACCCAGCAAAAACAGTTGGGAGATACCCACTATGGTGCTGCTATATCCTCCCCTTCTTAAGGCTCTTAAGGTCTGGGTCCAGGGAGCTGAGGTCGCTGGTGCCCCCTCCAAGGGCACGAGGGCGCTGCACCTGCTCCTTTTTCTTCTTAGCTCCACTTAAGGGGCACTTGTGCTGCGCCAGGCACAACGCTGGGCATTTTACCCTCACTGTCATACGTAATTCCCATAGCCACCTGGGGATAATTACTGCATCTCCATTGAGCAGATAGGAAAACAGAAGCCCAGAAAGTTAAACGTCTTTCTGAGTCAGGGCGTCAGTGAGGAAGTGCCAGAACAGGTTTCCCAGCCGTGCCCCTTGACTTGTGGCCGTTAGGGAAGGCAGGATAGTTGGGAGGAAGCCTAACAAAGGAAGGCGACAAAGAAGGAATATTTGGGACTGTGGGAAGTCGAAAGGGTCTTCGGGGAAGCTGCTGACAGGTGAGATTAGGCTGGAGATGCCTGCGCCCCGGGCGATCCACGTGGGGCCGGGATTTTCCATGCGCAAGTAGCCAGGCGTGCCAGGTGGGGGCGGCTGGGGGCGGGGCTTCCCTTGGCCCTCCCCTCGCCCAGGTGTGGCGCCCGGACCCCGGCCGGAAGGGACTGTGCGCCCCCGCAGTGCCCGGAGGTGCGGGGTCCGCGGGCAGACGGGCTGTCGGGCCAGGCTTGCTCGGGAGGGGCTGAGCTAGGGTGGCGAGGGCGCCCCGGAACCGGCCCCACCGAACGGGCCTTTGGCGGGGGTGGAAGAGGAGGGGGCCGCGCCCTGCCCGGCCCAGGTATTGTCTCCGGGGGCGGAGTTTGGGAACCGGCCGCGGAGCTTCCCAGCGGGACCGGCGGGCGGGCGTCGAGGGACAGAAGCCGACGAGACCCGGCGGAGAGGGGTGGCGCGGGGGGCGCACTGGACGGGCCAACGCGCCCAGCCGCCAGCATGTTCTCTCGAAACCACCGGAGCCGGGTCACGGTGGCCAGGGGCTCCGCCTTGGAGATGGAGTTCAAGCGCGGCCGCTTCCGACTCAGCCTCTTCAGCGACCCCCCCGAGGTGAGACCCCGCGCCCCCCGCCCCCCGCCGCCGGAGCTCCCGGGGCCAGCCGTGTGGCCCCCGCCCGCGCGCACGCCGGAGGGGCGGGGACGCCGCCGCCGCATCCAAACCCGTGCTTGTTGACTTTTAAAAAGCGTGTTTTTATTAATTTCAGAGAGGAAAGGGGAGAGAGAGAAACATCAATGATGAGAGAGAATCATTGCTCTGCTGCCTCCCGCACGCTCTTGGGGAGCGAGCCTGCAACCGGGCGTGTGCCCCTGACCGGAATGGACCCGGGACCCTTCAGTCCGCAGGCCGGCGCTCTATGCACTGAGCCGAACCGGCTGGAGCTTGTTGGCTTCAAAAGTGGGGCGCAGACCCAGTGTCCGCACGTTCATCGGACCTGTGCCACCCCAGACTCCCTGGCCCGTTGGGATGATCTGCCTCTGTCGGGACGAGCTTCGGTTGGTCTCAATTTAAGGGGTCCCAGGCTCGATTCCCAAAATGTGTCTGGCATCTCCCGGCATCCCCGGGCAAAGGGTGGTGGGCAGCTAGGCCCCAGCAGCTTGGACCTTCCCCCTGGGCGCCAGCCCCCTCTCCACCCTCAGTCGCCACTGTCAGCCCGGTTGGCCCCTTCGCCCAGGCACTTCCCAGTCACCCCTCTGTGCGGCTGCAGGGCTGGGAGTGCGTGTGCGTGTGCGTGTGTGTGTGTGTGTGTGTGTGTGCGCGCGCGCGCGCGCGCGCGTGTGTGGTCCCTCTATAATGGTCAGGGACTATTCCCACACCCAGACTATCAGCCTCCTTTCCTGGGCCTGAGAGGAGTTCAGTCTTTAGTCTGACAGTTTCCTCCCGGGCCCAGCGCTCTCCACGATGCAAGGTCTGAACCCCACTTGTAACTCCCTAACGAGGTTCTGGAGGGGCTGCGCGGGGCGTGGGCACAGCCAGGGGGCTGCCCAAGGTCAGCCGTCCTTCACTGCTGGGCCTGGAAGAGTTAAGTGAGGGGCCTTACTCCCACCCCCCACCCTCGGGCCGGGATTCCAGGCCGGGCTCCTGCGGGACACCCCTTCACCCCCCCCCCCCCCCAGCCTGCCCAGAACAAAGGCCCTTTCACACATGTTCCGGTGTCCCGGGCCTTCTCTGACTCAGAAGCTAGTGAACTTGGAGGAGAGGGCCCTCTTGTCGGGTCCCCCAAAAGTAACCCCGTCCCGGGCCAGCGTGGGAGAGTGAGGGGTGAGGCCCGGAGGCCGGGGTGGGGGGGGGGGGAAGGGGGGGAGGGAGGGGCCTGTGCGCTGGGGCGGCCGCGGGAGAAGCCCTAGGGTCTGGCGTTGAGGAGCGGGGCGGAGCTGCGGGCCGGCCGGCCGCCCTGGGGTGTGTGACTCCGTGGGTCTGGGGTGGAGGCGGGTGGGGGGGGGCAGAGCTGCAGCTGGCTGGGAATCGGGGCTGGTTTCCTGTCTGGGAGGGAAGGGGCCCGCAGAGGGGAGCGGGGCAGCGGCAGCACGCAGGCACACCCCTGCCGTTCTCCCTCCCTCTTCTCCCTTCTGCTGGAAAAGCGAGGTAACTGTGAGCCTAGGGTGGGTCGGGCTGGACGGGGCCCGGAGTTGGAAGAAGTGGCCCTGGGGGATGGGCCGCATTTACCCCTTTGTCCCACTGCCTGGCTCACTCCCCCAGGTCCTCACCTCCATTCCTCTCCAGAAAGTTCCAAGCTCCTGACAACCGTCCGGACTCTGTAGAACCTACGGGAGGCGTCCCCTCCCTGCCCCCTTCCAGCTGTGCCTGCCCCTCAGGCCCTCCTGGCACACAGATTCTCTGTCCACCCGCCAGGGATGTGGGCGGGGGCTGGGGAGGGACCAGAGTCGGAATGAAAGGGCCTTTTTCTTCCACAGCTGGGAGAACAGCTGCCACCAAAGCAAGACTGGACACTCTGTGCCCAGAGTCCCCTCTGCAGCGGGCCTCCCCTCCTGGGACCCCACTTATCCTCACCTTACTTTCTTTTCCTTTCATGCCCAGCTCCCGCCAGGGCCCTGCAACAGCGGTAGGCAGAGGAAGTTTGTCACAGCAGCCAGAGGGGTCTGACAGGAGTGCAGAGGGGCAGAGTACCCTCTGCCCTCTGCCCAAGAGCTGCCCACCTCTTTCTAGACCCAGGGGAACAGTGGGAGGAGGAATTGTGGGGCAACGTGGTGCCGGCCCGCCCCTTCCCTCTGGAGGGGTTGACGAGGGAAGGGGTACTAGGGGGCACAGAGATGCAGGACAGATTGCACATCCTGGAGGACCTGAATATGCTCTACATTCGGCAGATGGCGCTCAGCCTG